TTCTTAAAATATTTTAAATTAAATATTATTTTAGCTAATAATAGAGTTTTAAATTAGCTAAAAATAGGGTCTTAGATTAGATTAATAGAGGATCTCTAATTAGATTAATAGAGGATCTCTAATTAGATTAATAGAGGGTCTTAGGCTAACTCTCTTAGGGGGGTTAGGTTAAGAGTACCTATAGTATCAGGTTACAGGTTTAACCGGGGGGGGGGGTCTCAGTTGGTCTGTACTCTCTCATTAGTCTCGGCGCTGAAAGTGAGCAGCGAATCTGCCTTTCGGCATCCTAAATGGTCCATCGGCGAAGGTGTTTGAACTAGAGATGCTCAATTTACAGATGGCGTCAATCACCATTGGCATGGTCACCCTGCTAATCACAATTGCCAACTACTGAATTAGTGCTCGGTATTTGACACGAGGGACAAAGGGCCACTTGCTTGTACCTTAATGCGGATAGCTCGGGGCCCTTCATGGGAGATATCCGAAGCCGGATTGGAAAACTGCATACAAAATAGGGATCGTTTTGCCGTTCATTAAGCTTGGCTATATCCGTATATAGCTTCACCGTAGCTAGCCCCTGTTCGTTCAGGGGGTTAAATGGCTTGACACGTGCTCCAAGGCTGAAGCTCGGTTGTTCGTCCCAGAAAGCGATCTTTCGATGCCCCTATCTAGCGTAAAGTCAAGTTAGAAAAAAAAAAAAAAAAAAAAAGAACAACTGCCGCGATGGTTTCGTTAATAAGGAGAACAGCTGAGAATACCGTTTTCTGTCATCTTATTGGCAGCTTAGATAGCCCAACATTAGTGCAGCTTCTTGCATAGAGCCCCATCCACGTTTTGGTATCAGGCACATGTCAATAGTACCATGACATTATTTTTCACCGTTTAGCCGTGATTCGTTTATCTTCCCATTGGAGCCATGAACCTATAGCATTTAGCAGACCCATGTAATCACTCACCTGAGATGTTATTCCCACCGTCGGACACCTTCCTCATTCCGCCTAGAGCCATGCATGTGATGGTGGGCCATGGGTCGGGCTTTGCGTGTGACGGTTTCAAGGGTTTAGACGACTTTGGCAGCTCGAGAGCTGAACTCTCAGTGGACTGTTCAATTATCGCTCTGAATATACGATATAATTACTTTACTAAGTTGACCAATGCCAAGTCACCGCTGGGATGAACTCTATTCGCTATACACTGCCGGTTGATGCGTAGTGCTGATTGATATATCTTGTAGCCGTCCGTCATCATGTTGGTCTCATCACGCTCACTCCCAGGCATCGCCTTGTCATTCATTTAGGGAATTTCTTGTTTTTCACCATGAGAACCTCGTTCTCGTCCATTCTTTTCGGCCTTTGGCTTCTTTGCCTTGGCACGGTCGCTTCAGCTCACGAGTCATGCGGTTGCACCGTCATCGTTGTTGAAATGCCTGAGCAGCCAACCAAGACCGTCGCTGCTCAGGCCCAAACCGTCACCGCCGCTCGCACCAAGATCGAGACTTCCGTGCGCACCAAACCGACAGTTGCCCGACCTAAAACAGCCGATACGACAATTCGTGCTACTTCTACCGCTCACCACAACACCACGGCCACTTTCCTTCCTCGCACTCCAGCAAAAGTCGACTTGAAGAACCCCGAGAATGCGGTACCCAAAAAGAAAATCGCAATGTCCTATGGCGATGTTGAAAAGCCCAAGAACCAGACCTTTTCAACCTTTAAGAATGAGACCGCTGCTCTAAAGGGAGCCATCGACATGGATCTTGTCATGAGCCATCCAGCTGTTGTTCTGGACTACATCGATGCTATTGTCTCCGTGGAATGTTCAGCTGGTTCCGTCAAGGTTCAGTTTGGCAAATCTGCTGCTTACGAGAAGGCCGCCGAAAGTTGGCTTGACGACGAGGCTTTCATTCTCATCACGAACAATATGGGCAACTGCAAAACCGAGATCGGCCAGGCTTTCTATCTTGTCAATGGTGTCACAGCGGATAGAGACTTGAAGTCCATCACTTGCCACGCTACAGAGCAACAGCTCGCCGACATTGCAGAAACCTGCGAAATGTCTTTCACTTCCATCCCTGCTACCAAATTGACGAAGCGCCTTACACTGAACCCCAGCCTTTCCCTCGACTTCGGCACTGGCCTTGAGAGAGATACAGTTCTTTTCAAAGAGGATCCATGGGTGACCATCAAAGCTGAAAAGGCCGAGTTCTCATCCACAGTCTCTTTCTCTGGTCGTGCCAAGTACAACTTTGGGCTATTCAAGATGGAAGATCTCTATTTCGATCTCGACACTCATTTCTCCGCGGATGTCGGGTTGTCCGCCGAAGTAGTAGCAGCCTGGTCCAGGTCTATCCTCTACGACCCTGATACTCTCACATATACGCTTGTCGAAGTTCCTGGTATTCTGTCTCTTGGACCCGGCGTGGCCTTTGCTGTTGGAGTCGACATCGATACCTCGGCTGCTGTGGCTGTCAGAGCCGGCGCAGGTATCGCTATTCCAGCAGGAAACGTCCACCTTGATTTCCTCGACTCGAAAAAGAACGCTGCTACAGGCTGGGAGCCCCAGTACACGTCCTACGCCAACATCAGCGAGAGCGTTGAGGTTGGTTTGAACGCCAGTGCATCAGTGACAGTTCAACTCACCTTCAAGCTCCTGGGCGGTTTGGTTGATCTTAGCAGTGGGCTCACAGCCACTCCTGAGTTCGTTAATAAATTCACTTTGGACGCTGAGCAATCAGCCCATGCTTCGTCGCAGGGTTCCGGGGTCAATCTTCTGAACGGAGACTTGTCAGCAGTTCCTGCTCCTGCTTCTACACTTGGTGCAGCAGTCAGTGTTGTCAACCCAACCAAGCAACATGAATGCGGCGTTTCTTTCAAGTCTGACTTCATCTTTGATTTGGATGGTTTCGCGACGAAGTGGTGGAAGGCTAACTTGTACCACGTTGAGGTGCCCATCACAGACATTTGCTACGATTTTGAGAAAGGAAATCTGACAGCAAAGACTCCTTTTAACTAGTTCCTGGAACCCATTCCCTTACAGTTAGATTAATTGTAATCATAATTCCTTGTGTAGTCCCTTTAGCCTGATTAACATTCTGTAGGCATCCAAATAAGCACGACAGGATTACGAGATCCGCTCAGGCAGCAAGATAATGGCGATAAATAAAGGTAAACAAACATAAATGCTAAATTGTATTCGGAGAAACTTCAAGTAATAGTTGTCTTTAAGATCCTTGGAATGGACCAGCAAGATACGCCCGACCAGATATGTCAAGGAGTCTTTATCTGACTGAACACGACCCGATATGCGGCTTCATCCCTTAAGCCTTTAGCTGGGGGGCAGACTAACTTTACATACCGTGCTCAACTGCTTCGTCCGCTGGAGGATGGCACCGCTGTTGTCGTGGTCAAACATGGTGAACCTTCCATGACACGTCATCCCACTAATGCAATCACAGCAAATCGTTGCGTGAGTAATTAATTCAAAATGAAAGAATTCATCTTGACAAGTTGAGGATGTTGGAGCAGCAATCCTATTAGAACTGGCTATAAATGATATAACCTGCGACCAGCCTAGCGGTACTTCATATATTATTAGGACAACAAAGCCATACGCCTACGACGCTGAAACCAAGACCTTGATACTAGAGTATCTTCCAAATGTTACCGATCTCAAGACTTTTTCTATCAATAACTTTCACTCACCAATACCAAAGAACTTACGACAATCGAGCCATGATCTCGACAAGGCTTTAGCAAGACACATTCTCAAGTTCCACGACCTGACGAGAAAGACAGTCCATGAGTCAAGGAACCAGCAACAACCGAACAATCTTTCAGGTTTTAAGACAGTGGTTTATAGAGGCGAAGAAATGCAGAAGCTGAAACACTGTATTGATTTCGATTGGATGATGGATCGTGTTGACCAATTTCCACACATCTTGATGGAAGCTAAGGAGACATTTCAACGTGTCAAGGACATGGCTTTAAAGGAACTAAGCGACCCTTCTGCTGACTTAACGCTAATTAATGGAGATTATCACCCGCAAAAAGTAATTGAACCTGGCACTCTTATGATTGAAAGCTGACAAGGTCGACAGCGTCTTACAGGTAAATTTTCCATCGGAGGCTGGAACTACCAGAACTCTGTACGTGATTGACTGGGAAAACGCACAAGTTGGGGTTGCAATAGACATGAACTGCTGTTAGGAGAACTGGAGATCAACTGAAAGTAAGCAGAAGAGATACGGTGGCTTCGTTATTTTGCCAGACTCCCGAGAGCTCTGTCTCGTGATGTGGCGTGGCGGGTGGACGTGTATATAAGTGATGACTGCCCCCCGAACTCTGTCCTTTTGTACATCTCGCAACGAATCTACTACGACTAGAGAAATCACGCCTCAATGACCATCCACCACACTGAAAATACGATGCAGAAGCGATGTGGGCAATGCCTCGAGCATCTCAATCCCGGCACGAAGCTACGTCGCTTGAACTCGGAGTTTGTATGGTTACCCTGACATTGAAGCTATGTCACTGATGAAGCCGCAGCTCCTTTGTGACTCTTGTGGAGAGTTTCAGAGTAAGAAAGGCTATCTGATGTACGCCAGTACGGCTGGGAGGGAGATTGCATGGTATGCTTGGAAGAAGAGAGTTCGATCGTCTTCTTTGCTTGTTGCGCAGATGCCTCTACCACTCTCGTTGGACACACCCTGTGCTTTGCTTGTTCACAGAGGCTTGATGTACGTCGATCTGAGGCCAACTCTCTCTTATTCCTCCCAGAGCAGCCGGTAGTATGTCCGTGTTGTAAAGGAGAAGTGATCTATGCGGTCCAGGCTGCTTCTGAAGTGGTCGTTCTGGACGACCCCGAGATCGAGGAGATTGTCAGAGTTGTACTTACCAGAGGGGGCCGGCAGCGAGTTAAAGTTCGTCTAAGTAACTCGGACGAAACGTGGATGGATCTCCATGAATTGCAGGACACAGAGTGGAGGGCGAGAGCACAGCTACTGTTTGAGGACGAGTGTGGAGTTTGAAGAATGTCAGTCTGATATAAACTCTTTATGTGAGAATGATGATTACATAGCATGTACATTTATTTATCCGTATTGTCTCATCTTGCGCAGGAACCAGTGTTCGTAGGTAGTTACTAGTTTATCAGAGTCAAGAAAAGACCCACATTATTCTTTGCGCTCGCTTCAGACTGGTGCTTGACCGGTTATTCGATGATGCCTTTCAACTAGCCGTTGACTCCTCCCTCCTGACGACCCAAACACAGACTCCAACATCACGAGGTCGCTTCGGCGCCCTTGATCTGATCCTAGTCCTAACACCTTGTTCTGGGACGCACCTGGACCGTGTTTCCGCTTGTTTGGTACCAACGGCAATAACGGGTGTCGTGGTTTGTCGAGCAACTCAGCTCGCTCAAAGTCGATCAGCACGACGCTGTCCGTCCGTGGATCATACAATGTATTGGCCGCTCGTATGTCCTTGTGGATCACGCCTCTTTCATGCAGACCGGTCAATGATGCTCGTGTCTTGGCCTCAAGCTGCTTCATCCCGTTATTACAAAGCTGAACTTTGTCGAGGCAGTGTCCGCTCCACGACATGAAAATCATGTTTACCACGTACACCCGATGTATAAAGTAGTGCGTTTTGTTCATCAACCTTAGGTCAATCGCCCCTAGAAAAACCGGGATGCTCTTGCCTTGACATGGCGCGCTACGTTCATACACTGCAGCTTCGTGCTGAAGGTCTGAGATGAAAGCCAGTACCGGGCCTTTACCGACAAAAGTGTAGCCATACTCCAGTAATGTTATCTGGAAAAGTACCCCGCGTGCTCCGCCCATGGCCAGCGGGGTAATACCATCATGAGGAAACAGGCCAGCTGTTCTTTGAGACGCTCGAGCCACTCCTGGTAGGACACTGGATAGCGGATACGACCATTGGAATAACCTTTTTCGCCAGCAGTCGCACCATGGAGGGCTACGTTCGGACAGTTCAGGTTGAGATAAGCACCTTTCTTGAGGCTGAGAATACATTGTTGTGTACAATATTGCCGGCTTTGACCTTGTCCACTCCCGGGGTTGCTGGGCCGGAACTGAAGCGCTTTCCGTTTACTCCGACGAGATCCCAGCCTGGCGCTTGGTGTGGGCGTATCTGGCGGACCTGGGCCTGACGCTGACTCGTCATCTGATGACTTAATCCTTTTGAAATCCCTTAAGATTATAATATTATTTTATTATATATAGCCTTATATATTAGACCTACTTATTTATATATTCTTATTAGCCAATCTATTTCTCCCCTGATAATGGGGTAAAAGGCACGACTGGGCAATGGACGAAACTGGTTGACAAACGAGGACAATAGCCACCAGGTCCGCCCCTACGCGAAGCACTTGCACAATTTGGGCATTATTGTTGAGTGTCTCCAAGTGACAGTTGCTCGCTCGGGGCATGGGCTCTGGCCATGTCAATTTAGGAAGCAACTAGAAGCCTTCATCAGCCGACAAGTTCAACTTCCAACGCAAGGAAGCCCTCATTCTTTGGATTGTTTTATTTACCCAGCGCTAGCAGCCTCATGTCCGTATGCCACAATGGGTTTCAGGCACAGAAAGGTGGCTTTGAGTAGTTTCCCAGTGGGCAACACCAAAATGTGATTATCGCTGCGGATGTCATGTTGGTACTGGTGTATCACATGAAAGCGGCTTCCAGAATCCCACGTAATCCACGGGTCAAGAAGCGACCAATCGCAACAGCCGGTACATTGTGCTCCTGTGCTTACATGGGCCCTCGCTGCGGGGTGGCCTCATGGCAACTCTCGTCCTTCCAGCACGGAAAACATCTCCATCTCAATAATGCTGACCTACACATATGCCGAGGCCGAGTGGGATGATGTAGCCCACGATGACGAGTCAGTCCAGGCCGAAGCCGATCGGTTGAACAACCCAAAGATGGACAAATCCACTCAAGGACTGGTTCAGTGGATCAAAGATCTCTATGCCTCTGGTGCTAAGCTGTGGACCAAGGAGATGCTATCCGACATCGAAGCTGAACTAGCACAAAACCCGGTTCCAAAAACAATTTCTATACGAAGCAGTGCGTATTCTGCATGGTCGCATAGCGATCTAGACTTGGCTTTAGGGTTGACCTTCAGGAATAAGTAAATGGAAAGAGTATCGGACAACTTGTGCCTTCCCCGCCACCGATCAAAAACTCCGGTGGTGATGAAATTCCGTCAGTTCCAAATTGATATCCTCACTCGGTGATGTTTTACTTACCTGAGATAACAACAGTTCGCTCGCAGTTAGATTTGGATTGTACCAAAGTATCATCGAAAGAGCAGAGCAAAGTATGTTGGAGTCTAATAGGGACCATTATTCCCGTTTTACTCAGGATGAGATCCAAACACTCGCCACTCGAGGTGTTAAGATATGTTTTTCAACGTTTTCAAAGTCAAATGCCGAGTACTCCAAGGTGCAGCAATCCTGGGTCCAAGCTCAACAGAATTGGCTCAACAGTAGCCTTTGTAAGGAACTATCTGAAATTATTGGAAGCACTGTTGATAAATCAAGAGCAGTCACAAAAATTGTCTGCTTCGGGCTGGGAAGTCTGGCCAGATCTATTGAAGATCCCATTCACATAGCGGATGACGGTCTACCGGTTCATGGCCCGGGAACGCAACATGCTGCGGCACTCACGTTGTCAACAATTCTAGGCGAACGGCTGGGCAGAGGGCCAATACCTGTTATGGTTCGGGATCCAGCATACAGCGAGGCTGACAAGAGAATATTGGAGAAAGTCGGTATCGAAGTGATAGGTGGCTTCGGATCTCTCGGATTCACGTATGTTGATGAAGAGACAATCGTGTTCAGCTGTCATCCCAATATACCAGTGAGGCAGATTACGGCTGACATCGCAAAGCCAGCGGCCATGATATGGAATAAAGGTCGATTTTCTGAAGAGAAAGCTGAATACAAAGTCTTTACGAGGCAAGGGAAAGAGGTACTATCTACGTGAGTCTCTATTCCATCACCATATACCAAGCACATGTATATACGAAACCAGCAGAATTCTCAACCCAAATTAGGCCATATTTTACCGACCATGACTCGCCTCGCACAGCGAAACTACTCCAGGACTATGACGAATTTGAGTTTCCCAATTGTCACTCTCGCTTTGGTGATCTGGCCATCTACGTGAGGAAGAGGTGATTAGTACTCAATAGCTAGTTCAACGATAGATTTGAAATAATTAACTTCCTGTTGCCGTTGCCCTATTCGTCTTCGCTGTTTCAACCTGCGGAAGCGCACCTTATATCTGGATCTAACAAATCATACATGCATGGAGATGGTTCAGTGCCATCAAGACAAGGCCATATCAGGCAGGCTGCTCACAACTGAGAAGTCTCGTCTACTCTTTTCGCTCGAGCTGCTATGGCGCAAGATACTTTATTTAAGTGCATTGTTTCCCAACGCGAACAGACGTGACACTTCACATTATTTGCTTATCTTTATAAAGGAGACTTCTATCTTTCAAAAGCTGTATACACATTTTCACTCCTATACTACCCAAGCTTATACTAGGTAGAAACTCGCCCAACTGACCTTTGCAGAACAAGACAAGCCATAGATCCTCGCTAGTACTGTCTGCGCTAGAATCTAGTCGGCTTTTCAGTGCATTGAAGTCATTTCATTAGCACAATAACATGGACAAGTCTTGGCATAAACGCACGGGTGTCGTGCCGTTTCAAGTTTGGAAAGTAGGAGGCTAGGGCCAACGCATCACACCACTTTCACTCTAGCATCAATTAGCAAAGCCATGAGTTTTGGCATGACGAAAATACTAGAACGCTAGGCTTAGGATAAAGTCAATATTCAGAACAATAGTTGCGTTTTTCAACAGTCATAGGGGCAAGGAGCCATTGTTTTCTCGAGAAAAAGCAAGCTTCGATTGTCCCATCTAGAGAGATATCTTCAAAAGGATGAACTGCTCCGCTGCGGCTTACAAAAAGACAAGATGCCAATATACACTACGATGCGGGTCAAGAGCCAGTTCAGGAGTAGCGTCTTCATATGGGCACAGCCTAGGAAGTCCCGACAGCTGTCAATTTTATGCATTGCAGCTTGGGCCAACCAATCGTGCTTAGTGAATGTCATCAAGTTCATGCAGCCAGCGGCTAGCATGGGTCGCTTACGCTGTCAGATGTATAAGACTCTTGCCGGTAATCGATAATGTTTGTTTTTTTCTTCATGGGATTTTCTAGTACTTTATTTTCTAAAATCAAATTTCAAATATGAATCTTCAAAGGAGGATTGCTATCAATATCTTGGCGTTGTCAGCCGCCTTTGCCGCAGCTGTCCCGCGTATAATGGAATACCAGAGATACTCGTTAATCACTCGAAGCGATGACGACGAAGATGATGACGATGATGATAAAAAGCGCGCTCTGGCCAAGGGTGCGATTATTGGCATCGTCATCGGTATTGTCGCATTTGTTGTCTTTGCTATTGTTGCCGTCTATCTCTGCCGATTGAAGTTGAAAAGAAAGAAGATTAAAAATGATAGAGACGGCTCTCAAGACAATGAAAAGAATATCAGGGTTGAAAACAGAAGCAAGGATGTCGATGTCAGCTACAGTGTCGGCAATATCCCAGCCGTGGGCAACAATATCGATATCTTGAGGGATATGGGCCTCCAAGACGAGATCCACCACGAAACGCTCAGAAATACTTACAACAACAATAACACTTCGGATGCTCCCAGTCGATTCGGCCCCCACAATCAGATAACGCTCGCGGAGAACCTGGCTGCCAACGTTGACGCCAGGTCCGACACCCACATTGGCGGGAGTCAGTACGAGATGAACACTGCCAGAACCGTCATCTCCGAAAAACAGGGCCTGGACAATTTTAGAAACACGATCATCAGCGTCAGCAGCAGTATGGACGACGATTATTATCATCGCTCCGACCAACGCGCCTGAAAAGGGCGGAAGCCGCGGATCCCCCAGCAACCCCCAGAATGCCATTTAGAGGCAAAGCAGACGAGAGTAGTATCGGAACTATTACTCGCCCATGACTCAGTGTCCCATCACTTGGCACAGACGACTGGCTCGCTAGCAGCCAACCTACTACATCTCATCCCAGCCACCCACGAACTCCGAGCTAATATCCGAGCAAAGACTGGGGGGTGTGGTCGCCACACGTATTCGCGATGAAGGATCTCGAGATGTGGGAGGCCGGCGCCAAGTCTTTGAAGGCCAATTTTCAGGTCAGATGGAAATCAATTGTATCCAGTTTTATACATGGTTAGGGGTGATTTCCTGCTTTGGTAGGCGGACCTTGGATCGACAAGTGTTTCCCAGGTTGGAATAACAAATAGCCGACCAGCGCAGGGGTGGTTTCCAGGTTTTTTACATACAATCCATGGTCACCTCCTGATTCTGGGATGGCGTGTCAGAATATGTTTTGTCGAGATGTAGCATTCACTGTATGTATTAGTCAATGGTGATGGGAGTTGTTTTTCCCTTGCAGGCATAGGAGTCGGGCCAAGTTGTCTTAATGTGCTCAAGTTTGGGATATCATTAACTTGATTATAGAGGTCATCTATATACAATGATCATAATCCTTCCAAGACGTAATGGGCCTGAACCTCAACAGTTAAGTGAGGTCCAATGGAATAGACCCGTGAATAACATGATGCGTAAATCTTCCGTTTCCTCTCCTCCCAAGCTGCTATTCATGCCACTATCTAGAGGTTGTTCATGCGAACACTGTTGTTCGAGGTAGAGTCCTTGCCCACTGCACCTTCAACGCCCTGCTCAAACTTTTGCTGTCGGACGACTCTGTTCTTCTGGAGTCTGCGGCGGTAGAGAAGAACTGCGGCGACAAGGATGATGGCGGCACCAGCGATGGATCCAACAACGATGCCGGCAATGGCACCCTTGGAGAGACCACCGCCACCGCTGGATGAGCTACCGTCCTTGGATGAATCAGATCCGCTATTTGAGCTTCCAGTCGCTGTGCTGGTAGGAGCTGCTGTAGAGCTGACGGAAGAGTGGTAGTCGAAACCAGGTCCAGCCTCATCATCGGCATCGGGTTCGGTGGCGTTGAAGCAGGGAATGGAGATGGTGAAGGCCTTCTCCTCAACGAACTTGACATCCGTGCAAGCATAGAATGTTTGGTTCTCAGGCTTATCAAAGTCGGCAATGTACTTGATCTGGAAAGTGGCGAAGTCACCGCTCTTGACATAGTCGGGAATAGTGCCGACGGGAACACAGGTGTGGCCAAGATCCATCTCACGGAATTGCTCGGGGGATGTTATTACTTTGAAGTCACTGTTCGACTTGGGGTCTATTTACACATTAGCTCTTCAATCTCAAACAAAGATAAGGCGATCTTGGTAGGAGAAGGTCTTGGAGACTTACCGGCCATGTAAGCCACGCTGAGCTGGATGTCGTAAGATTCATCCTGGGCAACGAGAGCAACTTGACCCTTCTCTGCATTGATTCTGTTAGATGAAGTTCCTAACAGCCTTGTTTCTGACCTGTCGATGGAGAAGAAAACTTACTCAGAGGGAAGTCAGTTCTGTTGTCGTTGTTGGGAGCAGCAATAGAACCACAAGGGGCGGTGTTATCAGCGTCCCCGGACCAGACCCGATCGGGAGGCCACATAAAGGCAGCTGGGCCCATGTTGGTGTACTTCGCATCCTCGGCGGAGGCGATGGAGGCCAACAGGACCAGGCCGGCGGCGACAGACTTGGAAAACATTGTGCAGCGAACCGAGATTACGATGGAGAAAGGGGTATCAAGAGGAACAGTGAGCAAAGGCAAAAGGACGCACGCATAGTTCCGAGAGCCCAACGGTCGGCTGGCCACTTCATATACTCGATATCGCCAAGTCTGCCAGCCCCTCTTTTCGCCATGGCGACAACACAACCCGCCTCCAGCAGCATCTGCGGTAACCCTACCCCATCACGGCCGAGGGCAGGAAAACTCTGCCACCACCTCTGTCCCGTAGAGATGATCTATTGATTTTTGGCCCAACTCCGGTTAAACCGGGTATGAGGGGGTGGGAGCCCGCAGACCAGCCAATACGAACAAGTGGCATGCACGAAGCGGCATTCACCGTCGTATCAACGAGCTGTCCAGTGTCATCTGGGATGCAAGTACATGCAGCCAAGACTCCAAGAGCTTCCTCTTTCTGACCCGTGTCACATGTTAGCGCCCTGGTCAAAACAACTATTGCTACCAGCCAAGCAGGCGAATTCGGGCCTGCGGGCTCCGGAAGTGAGGCATTATTATCAGATGATCAGATAACCAAGGATTAAATAATCTTATCTGATGGTGGGGGTTGCAGCCATTGGCCGAGAGCCCGTATGGCCCCATAAAACAGGGTCAACGCTTTGCTTGTCAATTTACTGTTAACTCCTACCTTAAAGGCATTGGACCAGGGTCCATTTGGCTAGGGCCGGTCTCGCTACCTTATATTCAATAAAGCCGAACGCGGTGGCGAATGGGGATCGAGGATCCAAGGTGGTTCGACTTTCGGAAGGTAAAATCTTTGCATCGGCCAACCCCTCCTCCAACGGTAGGCCCCCCCCCTTGCGACGCAAAAGTGCGTTTGGCACCAACTAGTCATGGATGCGCTCTCGGAGCTAATGCGAAGAGCGTCACTGCAACATGAACGCTGGACTGAGCAGGGATGAGGCTGGCCAACAGAAGCCCAGGTCCGGCTCAGCAAGTGGGTGCTGAGGGCGTCCCTCGCATGCCCGACGGGAGTCTGCAGATTCCGCTCGCTGCAAAAGAAGGGTATAAGTAAGCTTGTTTTCCATCTCCTAATGGGTCGGAGCACACTCGTCCAGTCCTCTAACTCGCAAGACAGAGCCCATCAACACCTTCTCTGATCCATTGACCCTCATTGTCACTCGCTTGAACACCCTCAGAATCCACAATGCGTTTCTCTACCACCGTCGTCCTCGCAGCTACTGCTGTCAGTGCTGCCTCCATTACCCGCCGCGACACCTTCGAGTTCCCCGACAGCGTTCCTCTGGTTGAGAAGCGCCAGGAACCTGGTACCCCCCGCTACGAGTGCCACGCCAACTGCGGTAGGATAACACCCCGTCTTTGACAAGCAGTTCTTTCCAATGACTAACAGCTCCGTAGGTACTGCCCTGCAGCTCTCCAGGGCGTCGGACTTCAGCTGCGACAACAGCGACTTCACCCGCCAGTTCAACGCCTGTCTTGACTGCGCCCTTGAATTCGACATCTGGCAGTACTATGGCAACGGATTGAAGGCCGCCGCCACCAAGTGCGGTCTTGATGCCACCCCCAAGCCCACTGGCAGCACCGGCTCCAGCAGCGCCCAGTCGACTTCCGCTGCTCCCACTTCCGCCGCTCCCACCTCCGCTGCTCCTACTTCCACGGCTGCGTCCTCTGCTGCCCAGACCTCGGCCGCTTCCTCTGCCGCTTCCTCTAGCGCTGCTGCTTCCTCCAGCGGTGCTGCTCCCTCGTCTTCTGTCGTTCAGACTGGCGCATCTAGCTCCGCCTCCGCCACCAGCGGCGCCGTTGCTTCTTCCACCACCCCGGGCTCTGCTGTCAGTACCCCCACCTCCCGTGTCCCTACCTCCAGCATTGCTGGTGGCAACTCCGTAAGAACCGCTGATCTTCAATGTGTATCCGACTCATGTGCTAACTGTTGATTTACCAGACCATCACCACTGGCTCCCCCAACACCCCCGTTCCTACTGCCGGAGCTGCCCAGCTCTTCGGCTCCACGGGTCTCATTGCTGGCGCTGCCATCTTCGCTGCTGTCAACATGATGTAAACTTATACAACCTAATCCAGTCGTAAATTGATGTAAAGGGGAGGGAGGGAAACGGATAGCCACCAGCTGCCGCTCGCTGAGATATTGTACATAACCTTCGTCTCCCTCATCGGGGAGGTTTAAACATATTTGTAATATCGTTTAATTAGCTACTTTGGAGAGGAAAAGGAGAGAAAAACTCAGAAATACGAGTGTTATTTCAACGCCATCCCCCCAAATGCTCGATCCAGTGCTGCCCCCTCGTCCGCGACCGCCGCCTGCTGGCTCGTCACGGCCTTTTGCTCCTCTGACTCGTTGTCCATCAGGCTCTGGTCGCCCCCAGCCTTCTCGGGCTCGAGCATCCTGGCGTCGCTGTCCAGCCAGCCCGGCGCGACCCTCCGCTTCTCTGCCAGCTCCCTGTCGTCGATGCGCTCCTGGAACTCGCGCAGCTCCCGCTCCGCATCCTCCTGCATCTTTGTGATGTGTGCCTGGAGCGCCCGACACGATGCTATGATGTCGTCTGGGTGCGCTGCGTGGCCTGATGAGGAGATTATGTATTTGGGCTTCGGTTGCGACGAGGGGTCGTCTGATGCGGTGGCGACGCCAAGCGACGAGGGCGGGATTGTGGAAGGCATGGTCTTGTAGTTGTATGAGAGCGTAGTAGCAGTCGGGAGCGAAACGAAAGGCGAGACGGTGAGCGGCACCTGCTCCAGGAGGTGATGAGGGCCTAGAGGAACCAGGTCAGCGTATCTGTACCAACCACCCAAGTCAGGCGGAGTAAGCTTACGGTTATTATGCATTGCGACGCGATCGTCTAGTCGTCTAAATGGCGCGCCCTGGTCGTTTGCTCAGCTCGTTGGTATCGTACAGTGCTCTGTGATAGCCGGTCTTCGCTCAAGTAACCAATTGACTCAATGTGTTAGATGGATTTCAGATGGGAAACAATTTAGGTTTAGGCAGTCGAGTCCCTGCTGATCGTGACGTGATGACGATGGCCATCTGACCTGATAAGATAAGCACCCGCTGCAGCACCCCGCGTTAAGCTCAGCTCCTTAAGCCAGAAAAAGAAAAACCTGAGCTTCATCCAGACATTCGCGCCAGCACAAAGACAACAATTGTGATCCCCCACATCGATCGCTGCTGCATACAAATACCTCGCCATGCCGGTCACCACAATCCGATCCCCTCCTTCGCTAGAGGACTACGTGCCGCTTGCCGAATACCAATCACAAACCCCCGAGACCTTCATCGGAGGCAAGCCAGTCCTCCACTACCATCTCACCGGCGCAAAGGCCACCATTCCCAAGTCTCAGAGTGGAGGCTTGGCCCTCTTCCCCGCCGACTCTCCTACGGCAGAGCAGAGTAGCGCAAATGGCGAGACTGAAGAGCTGTTGGAGCAGCCAGTGACTGTCTTCGTCAACTCGGAGTAAGAACCGTCCTCAACCTCTCGAGCACCGAGCATGAACTGACATGTAGCCAGAACCTTCACAATCTTCAGCGACAAGGCTGAGGCAGGCGCCTCGATCCCCTACCCTTCCATCTCCATCCACGCCATCAAGCAAGTCGGTCCCCAAGACAGCCCGACCCAGGCCGTCTGGCTCCAGCTCGAGTTCGCCGACGGGGGCAGCGACGACGACGACTTCAACACCGTAGACCTCACCATCATCCCCCCGCCCTCCGAGGACGCCGCCGCCCCATCCCCCGCAAAGCAGCTGTACGAGGCCGTCGCGAATTGCTCGAACCTGCACCCCGACCCCAACGACGACGAGGAAGACGACGAGGACAACTACGACCGCATCATCTTCGAGGGCAGCGCCGAGCACGAGGCCCTGTCGGGCTACTCGGGCGTCCTACGCGGCGCGGCAGACGGATCCCTGCCCCCTCCCATGCCAGGCAGCGGCGGCTGGATCACGGCGGACAACGTCCACGAGTACTTCGACGAGGACGGGAACTGGATCGGAGAGGGTGGCGAGGAGAGCGAGGCCCTCGGCGACGGGGCGGGCAGAACGCGCGGCCGGAACGAGGTGGACGGCGAGGGCGAGGGCGTCAACGGAGACGGCCCCGAGGAGTCCAAGCGGCCGCGGACAGAGTGAAGCAAAGAGCTGGAGGACGATGAAAATTAATCAGGGCATCTGAAAAGTGTACGAGCAAGGCATTTCCACGGAGAAAACATCAACTTAAAAAGATAGATGGAATTATTAGGCCTTATTCAAACCGAATGCTGATGGGAGTACTGGGTATGTTTACTTTCAATATATACATGAGCCCCCCCTCTAGTATTAAATGTCTCAAAAGATAGGAATATGTCCGTCGAAACCGAGAAATCCAATCAAACAAAGGAAAAAGAAAATATCTAGTTGTCAATGAAGAGAATGGGGAGAAAACTCCCAGACAAATGAAATTTGGAAAGGAGGTAGATGCCAGTCCTCACATCCTCCACCGGCCGCCCTTACTGTACCGTCCGCCCTTGCTATTCTTATCCGGCGACGGTATCAAGAATCCCTCCTTGTCGTAAAGCCCTGTGCTCTCTATGCTCTGGTTACTCTGATGCTGCTGCTGCGCTCCGCGCACTTGCTCATCTGCGCTGCTGCCTGGTGCAACAATGGAGGTGGTATCTGCAAAGGGAACAGTCAGGCTCGGACCCAGACGGCCCTCCCGCGGGTGCTCGAGCGTCTCGAACCTCACCGTCCTCACATTGAGGACCTGGTTCTCCTTGTTCGCCTCCGTCTTCTCCAAGTTGGTGACAGCCGACCGAGACCGCGCCACGTAGCTCTGCTGCTGCTGCCGGGCCTCCCTGCTGCCCTTGAGCGCGTTCATCCCGCCCAGGCTCAGATAGTTCCTGTTACCCGCGGCGGCGCTCTTCGAGTTGGTCCGCAGCGGTGAGAAGCCGCCGCCCCTGATGGCCGGGAGGGCCGCCGAATCTGCAGCCGCGTCGCTGAGGAACGTCGACGCGAGCGACGCGACGCTGTACGAGCTCACTACGCTGTTCGTCCTCCTCAGTTCGGCGATCGTGCTCCCCACCGTCTGGCCCCTGATCGATAGCGTGCTCCCAAGACCCCTGGGCAGCTCCGTGTGCTGGTCCTCGTGGGAGGGCTCCACGTCGTAGACGGAGCTAGAGACCGACCCGCTGCGCGAGATGGGCGGCGGTAAGATGGTCATGTGCTTGGAGGTCGGTCGCGAAGAAAGACCTGGTTGGATGATGCAGGTGTTTGGTCTCGCGCTCGCGCACGAGGGTGGGACGGGGAGGTCTCGCTTGGGCTGTGTGCTCGCGACGAGCATCGACAGGCGCTCGTTGAGGGGTGACGAGGACAGCCCAGCGTCCGCCACCAGGCCGCCGCCTCGCTTTACTGGCGTTGAGTAGCTCTCGGGACTGGAGGAGTCCTTCCGGTAACCCGCGGGCCTGGGGAAGTGCTCTGCTTTTGGTGTGACAGTCTGCTCCTCCTCATCGCTAGTATTGCTCTCGACGGAGTGCACAGAGCAAGACACCAGGCTTGCCTCTGACGATTCTGAGGACAGGAAGAGAGATCTCGATGTCATATCTGGTGTCATCGCGCTCTTGGGCCTCACTTCTTCCTGATTCCTGAAGTCGCTGATCGATGGTGGTGGTAGCCGTGTAGAAGATACGGGCGTCAGGCTGCTCATCTTCGGCTGCTCACTTTGCGGACGGGCCGCCGCTCGAGCATTCACCGAGCCAGTTCTCAGTGGCGCAGGTACAGCCGACTCGTCGTAGATTTGCAGCCCCGCGATGGTCTTTGCGCGTCTGAGTGGGCGTGGCCCGTTGAGTTGCGGTCTGGTCTCCCGAGTACCCTTCACAACAAAGGGGTCGTCAGTCTCAGTACTCCCGGTCTCTTCCTCAGGCTCCCCAACACTGTACAGCGTCGACAGGGCACTAGATACCTCGCTCTCGGTAGAAACACGACGGAGGTATTCTTCCTCTTGCGGCCTACTATCCCGCCCTGAGCTGCCTCCCATGGCACCTTGCTGCCAACGAGGATGAGGCTGGAATTGGGGTTGGGGGATCGGTTGCCTCTGTTGAGGAGCCGTCCACTCCTGTCCCCTTAGCCTGCTTGGGCTCGACATGCCCCCGGGAAGCTCAAGCTCAGCGGTCGCTTGTCTGATGAGGCTGTTTGCCACACTCCCAATGGAGGTGATGGATGCGTTGCGGCTGTGTGTCCTGACAGGAGTGGGAGTGCCAGGCGGTTGACTGCCCCTCTTGCTTGGGCTGGGCGTCATCCGTCCGTTGCTATGACTCGAGACAACAGTCCGTCCGCTGTGAGGCGTCTTGGATGGCGAGCCGGTCTTTGTGGGCGACCCGCCCCTCTTAGGTGACTTTCGAGAATTCTTTTCGGGCGAGAGACTGGTTCCGTCGCGGAGTCGCTGTTCAGTCGAGGCGAGAATATCCCTGAGGTCTGACTCGGTAGCGTATGCTCTGATGGGCATCAGGGGTGGGATTCTCGGTCTCCCACGCGGGAGGGCCGTTAGGCTTGGGAGATCTGGTTCCGTTTGGCTCTCGTTTATTGGCGCCTGGCGCTTCTGTACTTCGATCTTCTGGTTGTCGGGGGGTGCTTGGGCGAGCTTCTCGCGGGGAGGCTCTTCAAGGTCGGGCAAGGTCGGCGATGCGCTGAGCCACCCCTCCTTAGAGAACCAGCTGTCCCTGAAAGACAATCTTCGAACTCGCGGTCCATGGAGGGCTTCTTCGTCAACCCAGCTTCGTCCCCTCTCCTTCTTGCCGGCGCCATTGGTAAAACTGTTGTATGTCGGCAAGGGTGGCAGCACCGGAGGCAGTGTCATCGAAAGCCTGCTTGACATGCGGCTGAACGACGATTGCGACAGGAATCCACGTTTTCCAGAGGAAAACTGCTGGGATCTCTCGGATGCTAGGTGTGCTGCATTCGTATAAACCACCATGTCGGTCGGTTTAAAACGTCGTTTATACCACCAATAGAAGAGGAGGCCGACAGCAACAACCAGCAGGAGTCCTCCACCTAAGCCTATTGCGAGCAACCAACCCAGCCCAAGAC